GTTTGTGCTGAAGATGTCGCCTAGTAGGGCGATGAAAGCTTCGCAAATTAACTATCCAGCTCAGAGAACACAACCACATCAAAGTCATCCACCTGAGCTACAAATCTTCTCTATCATATCTAAATACTAATGTATTTATAGTCAACAGAATATAAGTTTTATCGGGGAGAAGGGAGTAGAGAGTTATATTCAATGATGTAAGAGAAATATGAGTACCACAAAAAGGTAAACGAACAAGTGGGCTCTCACTGAATGTAGGTTCGTTGGTTCACAGATATCAAGTGTGGCGATAAAATGAAGAGGTTAAAATTGTGAACTGTAATAAAATACGAGAGAAATGATTAGCTTAGTGTAAATTACAGAAGGTTGATAACTAATAAGGAAAATAATAGAGTGAAGTAAGCTAGTAGGTGAAAAGGAATAAGAAAGGCATAATATAACATGAAAATATGAGATGATTATGTCCCTGGATGAATGTGCTTTTTGTTTGCACACATAGGTCAGGTTTCTTCTTATTAATCTGAAGAGCTTCAGCTATGGCTAGGAGAGGTAATCGTGTGTGTCTTTGGACAGGCTGTTTGGTACTTGATATACGGCCATAAATGACTCATCTATTTCGATGTGGTGTTCACTCTCCTCCACTGGATGAGATAAAATGGCACTATTTTTTATTGATTTGGTTAACTCCTTTTCCAAGTAAAATAGTTAAATTTAGATTATGGTGTTTCTATAGGAATTTGAAGCAATTTCGATGAAATTTTTGTCCCCCCCCCCACACACAGAGAGAGGTTATTCAAAACTATGGACCAATGGATATCTGTTTACTCCAAGACACGTTGATATATCAATCCTCCTAGTGTACAGATACTACAATACTCTCTTGAAGTTGATAAGAAATTATTTAATTAATAGTGTTATAACTAGACACATAAGCTAACAATATTGCTGTTTTCAGTTAGATCTTCTTCAGGCTTTACTCAAATTTACATAGATTTATACATAAAAATCTTACCCAATGACGGTGAGTTTGTGGGTGAAATAATAATAATAATAATATGGTAACTGTTTTGAATGTCAATAATAACGATGATTATAATGATAACAAAATAATGATAATGAGGTTTACGCACGTAGTAATAAGAATAACGAAGGCAGTAATATGTGTATAAGTAAACAATTGAATAAATTAATTAGGTCATATGTCAAAAGTTGCGTAATACTAAAGGTGAAGTGGACAGATAGATAATCAGAGTTTAAATAAATATCGTAAATTTTCTATAGTTTTGTTTGTAAGAATTAGTTATGCTTTTACGAGTTGATCACGGATTGATATCAGTTAGAGAACCACTGAAAACCAGGGAGTACTGGATAGCTGCTGTTTCATCCTAGTTTGGGAATCATCGGACCCACTGGGATTCGAACCCAGGACCTTCCGGTTACAAGGCAAGCTCGTATACCATTCAGCCACTGGACCCGATTCAATGGCTCATGAATTCTATCTAACTTCTAGCAATTCGTGATTTTAGCGCGACCCCAACTATTGTCGTTGGTGGGACATCCATCCACACACGTTACATCTAATTGGACCTCACTGGTCACGACTTCTCACTAGAACTCCAGGAAACTTCATCCTGTAGCAAGTAACTAGCGAGCATCAGATTAATTCTCCATAGTCTGGTTTGTAAGGGTTAGTTATGTTTTTACGAGTTGAAGTTCGAATTCATGAGCCATTGAATCGGGTCCCAGTGGCTGAATGGTATGCGAGCTTACCTTGTAACCCGAAGGTCCTGGGTTCGAATCCCAGTGGGTGCGATGATTCCCAAACTAGGATGAAACAGTAGCTGTCCAGTACTCCCTGGTTTTCAGTGGTTCTCTAACTGATATCAATCCGTGATCAACTCGTAAAAATATATCGTAAAAGCACGAAGGAAATGGAAAATAAAAAAGGGTGGGGGGGGGTTTGATTAGACTCCACCTAGGCCAAGGGGGAGACAAAGGTAGAACAAACTTCTTTTGTCGTATGCAAAGACACTAGGATTGTTCTCTCGAATTAATTCCCGTAGCTTCGTCTGTGAATCTGAATTCTGTCCGAAAGGCTCGATGGAGTGTGACAGATAACTTTGAAGGCACTTCTTCTGTCCACTTGGTGATCACTATCAATCCAAAGGGCTAACATTATAATCATCGCTATTAATGACATTCAAAACATTTACCACATTATCATTATTATTATTTCATCCACAAACTCACCGTCATTGGTTAAATGTTTTATATATAAATCTATGTAAATTAGAGTAAATCCTGAAGAAGATCCAATTGAAAACAGCAATATTGTTCGCATATATGTCTTGTTCTAGTGTTATAACTGTGTGTCGTTTCTGTTACTTTAAAACGCAACAACACGAAAATATACGCAGCTAAAGTGTTGCAACTGCGACGTCAGTGTGCAACAATAGCTATATATAGCTAGTGGCTTGTTCACGTTATCCACACTGAGGAAAAACAAAGAGAGTTGACTAATAGGACGGCGAGCTTCTTTTCCCCCATGCAAAAATCAACAATATCAGTTGAAATTACACATCTTGTCTTTAAAATCCTTTTTCAATCATGTAAGTTATGAATATGCAACTTTGTTGGCTAATTTCCCGCGGAGAAGTTCGGACCAGTATGGATAATGAAACATTGGAATTACTTATTTCAGTTTCACTAAGATATACACAGATATAATTTTTGCATTATGTCTACTTTTTGAGCTAATATTTGTTGAAATATTCACCACAGTTCGTATAAAATATGTATATAGTTATTTCTACAATAATCAATAATGTCATACAGATAGTTCCTTTTGTAAATTTTTGTGTAACGTAAGAACAATAAACATTCTTAAGAAGTGGCTTGTAAGGATTCGGTCTGTTTCTTGAGTTAGATCACGGATAGATATCAGTTAGAAAACCATTGAAAACCAGCTGTTTCTTTCTTGTTAATTCAGGTACATCCAGTGACGAGCCCCGAATAGGACGAAATGGGCATCCTGGATTCTACTGCTATTCACCATCCACCAACTAACCTTTAATGCTAATAGATTTATCAAAGTATTATTAAACCAGAATTTACAAAATCTCAGCATATATATAAACAAAGAGTTAAGGGGTGAGAAAATAGACTTAGGTCAAGTTAAAAGGACTTATTGAAGGTCAAAATAACAATGAAAATCATTAAACCAAATAACAGAGGTAATTGTACATCTGCTATGGTATCAAAACAAAGTTTACTAACTTAATTATCGTTCCTCAGTATGGGGTCATTTTTCGTTATCAAATTATCCAATTGGTAAAGATAACAAAATCAGGTGTAGATTGTTGGATTTGGTAAGTGTATAAGATTATAAAAGCAGCGTGTGTTCACATAATGAAATTGCTTATCACATTCGTGTTGGTTTTGTCATTTCATGGGGGAGAGGTGTGTGTTGTAACCAGGTCAAATTCTGTTTTAGTCCATCATTCCTATTCAGACAATTGGGATTCCACTTGATATGAAGTGCTTCTAATATTAGAATATTTTGTGATTTCTGAAATGTTTTTTCTGGATTATTTCAATATTGTCAAAATCAATTTTGTGGCCTGATTCTATAGCGTGTAGACCTATGGCTGATGATTTTTCAAGCTTTTCTAGTTCACTAACTGGATTTCTCGGTGGTCAAACAGATGCTCTACG